TGTTACATGTAAATCTAAACTAACATGTATCAACTTAATTACAGAACGACGCCTTGACAGTATGTCCATGTTGCGCGACGGAATTTCTGAATTTGCCAGATTTGATGAAGCATATTGACAGATGCATAGATTAATAATCGAAAATATATAAGTATGCACACTAATCTGATTCTGTCGAACTGTATAAGAGTGTATTCTCATACAAGGAGAACGGACTTCACATTAGCAATTAGCATATAAACTGATATAATGTACAGTATAAGGTGCATTAATTCGATGGATCATAGAATTCTGACTTTTTAATAATTTCCTCCAATAATTATTAAAGACCCAGCGGCCAATAAGTCAGAATTCCATGACCCATCGAATTAATGCTCCTTACTGTACCTCTCTCTTATATTGTTGAAGTTTTAATATGATTTCTATTGATGTAGGGACAATTTTACGTAGTAGACGGCTTCTAATGTGATTATGGAAGAGACAGAATTTAACACACAGACTGGATACTTATATAATAATTAAAATAATGTGAAAAAATAATAAAAATATTTTACGTTTTAAATCTAATTTTAATAAGGCTGAGTACGATATATGCGTATTTTTTTTAAATGTCAGTTTGTAATTAGTGTAGTAGATACACAGTTTGAAAAAATATTGAGTTCTTTTTTGTTTCTCACTTAATTATCTGTATAGTACTATAGTCTTAATTATCTGTGTAGTTTAATATTTGATGTAATTTGAAAGACCGTGCCAAGGGAAGATGTAAAAGTGTTTTTAACAAAAGACGACTACAACGAAGAGAGTAATATCTAAATTTTACGCTAGGATGTGAATTCTGTACCACGTTATCTATAGTTATGTACATCATACGCAGTACCTGTACGCAACCGTTAGTTACCTCATGTATTAATACTGTAAGTAAACAATAAATAGTTTTGAAAACGTGCTGTCGCTAAAACTATTGAATAGTGAATCTATTTTTGCAAGGCCTATGACAAATCTATTTACGCATAACTCTGTCATAGCTAACGATAGATATATATGTACACCAAACACACGTCTCGCTCGAATACGTCTATACTGGATCTACTACAAGCGCGCTTAAGAGAAAATATCCTCTCGTCCCTTAGTCTTATTTATTTCTACCGCGTCTGCGGAACGCGTTCGCGCCCGAGCGATAACAAAGACGAAGCTGGGTGATGCGACTCGCGTGGACCATGGCCACTATAGCTCCGTTCCAAGTACCTCGTAGCGAAGAGGGAGAGGGAGAAGAAAAAAAGGTGATGCCTGGCCTTGGATGGAGAAGCCCGCGGTCAACGATTCTTCCCCGCGTGCCGGTCGGAGAAGACGTATGTCTTTTTGCGCTACGATCACCGCATGCGCTCATTGTATCTCCACCTTTTCGCAAATCGGTCGAGACTGATCGCAGAGGGACACGCACCACCACGACGACGACGACGACGACGGCGGTGGCCGCGACGGCGACAGCGACGACGATGACGACGACGAGCCCGTTCAAGGCAGGCCGGTCGCTCGTTTTAAAAAAATCTTTACAGCCAACGAACGGGCGTCCGTTTGATGCACTCGGGGGGATCTCCCGTCAAGCTGATGATCATCATCCTCGCAAGTAGACGGAATACGGATCGGGTACTTCCCCGGATCTGACTGATGATTGTAGAACTGAAGGCATGAAAGTAAATGTGTGAATTAGATTAGAAAGAAAAACAGTGAATTACATGAAATAAACTGACTATATATTGACTTTTATATAATTGAAAAATTCTTAGAAATATAGATGTATAATAGATCTAGAATGTCTATAATTTATTGAGCTCCAAATTGGAACTGGATTTTTGGAACAAATTCAGGATGGTCTTATTTCACTTTCAAAATTTTTGTAATCCAATTTTACTTCGAAATTTCTGTCGATTTATTTTAACAAGTTTAAAGAATAATGGATTTTTGCAAATAGGAATAGAGCTCTGAATCAGGTGCTAATTGCAGAGACAATTAATGGTTGGTATGGGGAATCATTTTGACTTACCTAAATGGGCCGATGGGTTAATGAGTAAACGTTGATGGTCAGTAGTGCACTACTCCTGTCTCAAGACGCCTTCTAATTTGCATTCCCTCGGTGATGGAAAGATGTAGCACGCGTTCGTTAATTAAGGTGACGAGCGGAAATGCGGGCGACGCCAACATCTTTTAGATACGCAGCAGCCATGGGATAATATCTTCGTAGTTGCAAAATATCCGTTGAACTTTTTCCTTATGAGAGACCGGTTGATCAAGGTTCAATTATAAATCCCTCCCCTTGAGTTTATTTTTTATTATTAACACGCAAGAAAAACAAAAAAAATGTTGATAAGAATTTTTTGAATCAAACCCTTAAAACTTTAAGGCCACGTTCCGTAACGCGCATATGCGCGCATTTTCTATAGTAAACGTTAACGTATTCTATAGATAAATGCGCGCATATGCGCGTTACGGAACCCAGGGTGAGACATCAATGGTATAAAGCAGAAACCTTCGTGTCTCTGTAAATCGTCGTAGAAGCGACATGTTTTATAATTGCACTATCGTTCAACTTGACGAGTTCTGCGCGACAAATCCTGTTACGAACTGCGTAAACAAAAAGCGTGATAACAATCGGAAATCGCGTTATATCATAGCGAGGACATCGGCTTTTTCCACGTCTGGACACGTAAATACGTTATATATATGGATTATGGAATTTACAGATTTTTTTTCACAGAATATTTCAGTTGAGATAATAAGAAATTTGAAGTATCTTTCGTTCCTCTCTCTTCTATGATCATTTAGTAGGTATAAAAATTGTTATTTGTTGATGCGATTTTTACTATTAATTGTATATAACTGTAAATTACTGTTAAATAAAAGAATTATGAAGAATATATTAATAATACTGAATGTGCTGTATTATTATTTGACCTATCCGTTGTATAAATATATCTGAATTTTAAATATCTAAATATTTAATGCGCTATATAATAGTTTATTTAATTTACCGTCTCAAAGTCTTAATTAACTATTCTCAAGTGTAAAGCATACAATAATGTGATAATTTGAAAAATTACGAGAATATTTTCGAAATGTTTGCCGTTTACATTACGCATAGGTAACTTTCTTTTTGCGACATGTGTGAAAATTACAGAATTTAGTTATGTAATTTCACGTCCTTCCCCAATTCCGCATACTTTTACTTAAAACGTGATTGTGACAAATCCGCGGTTTATTCCTCGACCGAATTTTCAGTTTAAACATAAAAATGCCGGACCGGTTTTATGTTAAATGTCACCACTTATGATAACAATATAAATATAACAACAAAGTTTATAGCACAAGAAAAAAAATGTATGATATTATCTTCGCAACAATGCCGTCTTTCCGTAAATCTCTTTTTTAAGAGGTATGGAAAAACAACATCGGTAAAAGTCCAACCTCCATTTAAATAATTGCATTAAAATATTGCGCAACTTTTAGGTCAGGGGCATTACCAAATTAATACTATTATACCGAAAATAATTGTAAAACTTAACTTTCATTGCGTATTTAAAGTATAAAGTATTATCCTTCAATCTTTTTCTCAATATTTATTTCAATTTTAGTTGCTATAAATATTAATAAAGATAATTGTAAAAACTTCTATAATTAAATCATATATAAACATATATATGTATAAATGTTACTATCAATCGAGATGTGTCAAATAAATATCTAACGTCGCTAAACGATAATGAGGATGATTTAATCGCGCGACTCAACGACTCAGCGTTTCTATTCAACCTACAAATGGTCGGCCGTTTTTTAATATCCCCAGATATTTTTTGCGTATATAAGAACAGTGTATGGAATACCAAGAATTATAACCTTTAGGTCGTCGGTCATTATCATCCCCCTAACGTAAATGACTCTCCGAAAAGGTCCAGCAAAATACAATCCTAGTCCGGCGACCAAAGCGCGCCTTCCCAGAACTTTTTTTCTGCTAATGATAGATATACTGAGAAGTATCATTATACACGATTAGACGCATGCTAAATGTATGTGAATGGCTCGTCTTTCTCGATAAAAATGATTAATTATTTGTTTGTACTATGAGTGGTCTAATTGCGAAATCAAAAAGTCCCAATAAAATATCTTCCGAAAGTAAGATATGCGTGTCCGTCCGAATATACGCATTCTTGCGAAACTCCTGAAACCAATCGAATAATTTAATAATCAAGTTTCAATAATTAAAATAGAGTGACTCTTTTAGTGACTGCCGGAATGCATTCATTTCTGATGACAACGAAAGAACGAGTTATCCTATTAATTATAATTAAGTATCGACCGTGTTTGAAGTCACCAAAAGAAATATCAGCCATTTTCGTGCATCTCAATGCGGAAAGATATATTCTTAATGAAGGTGAATTTATTTAATCTCTACCTCCAAACGGATCTTATTTCCATTTTTTATGCTAAGAAGAAATTAACACAACTCTATTAATCTAAACTTGACACCTCGTAAACATTTTCAGTTGTTTTTGTGAAGTAAAAGATGGATGGCTCTTCTACTTCTCTATTTTTTCCGAAATGAAGAAACTTCCCTGCACTTCAGTGGTACTTTGGGGATAAACGAAGATGTTAAGATCAATCATAACGAGACAGGTTGACTCGAAGGGAATATCTGCGAATATTATCGGCGCGATAAAGTCGCGAGGTCTCGGATTACGCTCGCCTCGGATTTTACGAGGATCACGTCCTCGGGGCGCCTCTCCGCGCGCATCGTGCGGAATCTCGGTATCCCACGAAAACACTCGGCAATCTCGACATTGGCATTCCCATTTGCGGCTCTTTGTGTCGCAACTGGTACACTCCCCGTTCTCGGAGCATGTTATCGCGTGTCTTCCTCGCTCGTTCGCTCACTCGCTCGCGCGTGTGCGAAAACCGCAGGTATAAGCCGATGACAGGCGCGCGGATGCCTGTGCACGTGTTGGTGCGTGCGTATCCCGGGTACTACGAAAACACGCCGGGTCGACCGCGTATATAAAGGCCCGCTGCACTCGAAATGGAATCAGTCTCCGACATGTTGCGTCCATTGCATTTCGTAAGTGGTCCGTAGGATCCCTCTCATTTTCTCACGTCGACACTATCGTTTCGAAGACGCTTTTCCTTTCCTCTGGTTTTTTTTTCTTACCGTGTCGCGCGTGTGTACGCTGTTCCTCGACGACACAAAACGTCAATCGCAAGCCTGATTAACTTGTCTAATTAATTAAATTAGAGTAATTCGCGCCCCCGAAAAGCCAGTCGCTTCAGGAATTGCTCAGACTACCTTCGACAATCAAGTATAGACCGGGATTTATAAATCGAGCTATAAATATGATAATAATCGAATATAAGTTTAAAAGTGATACAGAAAACTTGAATTAAATAACGTCAGATCATCATCAAAATATATCAATAAAAATCGTTGCTATGTTATTCTATTAGAAATCTTTTTGGGAAAAAGACGCTCTTATATTTTATCTGTCAAATTTCGAATATTATATCGTCATGGATTATTGTTGCAAATCGCATCCAGCGGAAGCGACCGACGAATCCCCGATCGATCAAAGATTTTTCAAGTGCATTGGATACAAGTTACGGGAACGGATCGAGATCGCGTCAAAAAGATTCGGTTTTAATCGCGCAAATCGCAGATCGATAATAAGGAATCGCCTCGAATTGATTCTAGGTGTTCTTCCTCCTCGCGGCGTTCCTCGCGTTCGCCGCCGCTGTGCAGAATGAGGGCGACCCACAACCGGAAGCGAACGATCTAGTAGCGGATGCCTCGTACTGGGGGTGAGTTACGAATCATTTTAATTTCTACCCCATTGACATCGATCTATCCGCAGGAAATTCGTGAATCCGTGAAGCTCATCATCCTTAGACAATTTAGACCTATAAAATAAATTGCAATGAATATAATTAGGCGTTTTGGACACGAATACTTTTCAGAATGCTCCCAAAATGCCAATATCAAAATTCGTCGCGTGCCATTGCAAAGTGAAGTAAAAAAAACCAAATAAATCCATTTTCTTAACATACCCCGCCATTCATTGCAATCGCTACAAAGCTAATAGCTCTTTCTCGCGGAACTGTTAATTTTACATTCGCGTGATGAATAATTACCTACTTTTTGTTAAAATTATTAGGCGAAATTAAACTGTCGCGCGATAAAGACAGTCATGTCCTGTGGAAAAATTCCGAGGTTCGGAAATTGCGCGGTAATTTTTTGACGATCAGCTTCCCGTACTTTCAATATCTTCATTATTTAGAGTTCGGACGTGTCGTTGGGACGCTGCTTGTAACGACAAACATCAAACAGCGATCACGTATCCCATCGTAATCGGGGATTACTCAACCGCGATTATACATACTTCACGCGCACTTTGTATGCGTCTTGCTCGTTTATGGTGCTCACGACTCGTTCGTAAAGATGACAGTCGCGTAAACAGAAGACATTTGGAAAAAAATATTGCGCTTTTGTGGCGCAGTATTTCTTCATTCGTATTCACCACATCCCTCTCCTGAACTGCGCATGAATCACATGTTGTTCGTACGTAATCCTGTCGCACGAACACTCTAACTAGTCGCGTGCATAAATGACGCATTTCGATGAGCAATTAACGCTAAAGCGAACCGCAACGATCAATTTACAATAATTAAGCGGACCGTATGTATATCTCGTCTATTTCTTGCAAGTGACGTTCACGAAACGTCAAAATTTACCGTCACAGAAAAGTGTACAGTGGCTTCTCTAAAATATCGCGCATCAAAATAGAATTAAACTTAAACAATTGTTTAGGTGATGAAAAATCTAATTTTTACGATATTTTAAATAACCACCGAGACATTGAAAAATCTTACATGATCGATAATTTAAAACAAAACGATATCTTTAATTTTATACACATTAAATGTGTGCATAATGCGTGCACACATGTTTCAGTTTCAATTTGTTTGAATATGTAAAATCTTTAATGTTCCATTCGATTCACGTTCCCAGTACTTCAAATGATAATTTAATGACAATAAAGGCAGGAGAAGCAGAATGTAATAGGCAAACAGAATGTTTGCTGCTATTTTGCCGTGTGTAATCACGATTATAAATTATAATTTGATACTAATCGTACCTATGCGCAGCACAAGTGATACCTTTTATATATTCAACCTTTTCTCTCGCCTTTATAAGTAATGAATATAATGCTTCTAATTCATAACGAACGAAAGGTTACTTAAGATTTTTAAGACTAATTTGTTTCTTCTAGAGTTGATTAGCAATCTTTTATCTCCAGCATTAAATCCTGATTTATTCGATATTAAATCAATATTTTTTTCCAAAAAATCATCACTAAGTAAAAATTGATTCTAAAATTTATTAAGTCATCTGTCATTAAAAAGACGACGATTTTTCGAACGCTTTATATAATATAATAATATTTCACAAAATCTGTCACATCTTAAATTACCGTTAGTTTGCATTTAAATAAACAAGCAAATTCTTCGGTCGTTCAAACTGCTTAATCGAACGATTCATGAACAATTTCAGATACGGACGACCATATAGATACTACGGTGGCTATGGAGGATACGGCGGAGGTTGGGGGGGATACGGCAGAGGTTGGGGGGGAGGATACGGAGGATACGGTGGCTGGGGCGGCCGAGGCTGGGGTGGACGAGGATTTGGCGGTTATGGCGGATATTGGGGTTGACGTGAGCCCCGTATTCCATCCGCGTGATACCTTATGTTTATCGCTATCAATGTGTAGCCTTTGGCTCTTCGTATGAATTTTCTCTAAGATACGTGAAGCTGTTGGACAGCTTCATTAGCTTCGTAAGTTTTCATTGAAATCTCTATTGTACAAGAATAAAGAAAATGTGTGAAAGGAACGTGAAGAATGCTTTGTTACCTGCCATCATCCTTATTGATCATGTTCGCACGTAAAGTAAATAAAATCTGTTCCAAGAAATGACGTTAATACGTAATATATGACATGATTTTACACTTTGCGAAGATTAAACTACTTAACTAAATTAATTGAATTAAATCGCAATAAAAGCTTCTTTTTAAAAAAAATTGTTGAAAATGGATGTAGCATATTTTACCTAAAAGATGATTATCAGACATAAAAGAGAACATCAAACATTTTTTAAAAAGAACTTGCAATAAAACTTTCCATTTTTCTTCCATTTAACGTATATAATAACAAGACAGTATAAGTTAATTTATTAACGTGGGTGTAAGAATAACAGGTTTGTGGGTGTAGGTCGAATAAGGAAACGCGGGATGTAAAAAACTGTAATTATTATTAATCGTAATAATATGATTATTGACAATGACGCGACTATGTGCACATTAAAACACCTTATCTGTATCTTACAAGATCAGCTCTTTCTTACACTATATACAATAACTAAATATCATATTACTCATTTGTATTATATAATAAAATTATCTATATATATTTATATTTTGTATATATATATATGTTCATATTTATATATTTATATATTTATATATATATATATATGTACTCGTATTTATATATATATAATATTAAATTCATCGTTATTTGTTATTAGAGTAATTATTATTTTATTATATATATACGCATGTAAGAAACGATTAAAAATTAACCAAATATTTTATTCTTTATAATTCTGTACAATATAGGCTCTTAAAACTCTGCTCTTATCACTGAAAAAATGTACAATGCGTTATATATGTAAGGTATGAAGGTATGTCTGGAAAAATCCTCTCGCTCGCGAAACATTTAAACCGATTCGGTGCGCGTGTCGGCTCGTTGATCGATGATTCGCGGTCAATCGATGATCGTGCGCGACACGCGCCGGAGGAACCGCAGAGAAGGATTCGTTTCCGCGATCGATGAGAATTTCAAGGCGACGGCGAGCGCGCAAAGATCGCCGACGCGTTAAACAATACTTCATTTGATTTGATTCTTTTTGCGCTGCATAACAAGAAAATAAAGAGTTATGACAATAATGAATTGGGACGAAACGGTATCGCCAAACTCTCTCTCTCATTCTCTCCCTTTCTCTTTCTATCTCTCTTTCTCTTTCACTCTCACATGTATGCAACTTACTCACCCATTTTCTCTTTCTCTCTCTATCTCACTTTCTCACTCTCTTCTTCCTTTTTCATGGGATCGCAAGATCGCGGCAAAAGACTATTTTACCCTTTAGCCCAACATTCGCGTATGCAATGTACATGGAAGATACTCTTAACGTTTGATTACAAAAATTTGCCGGCTCGTTAAAATCGACTAACTTTCTTGTAGTACAACCACGTGATCTTTCCTCGAGTGCGTAATGAAGGAGATCGAGAGAATTGCCGGCGATCGAGATGAAGATTCCGAGAGACGTTCGCGAAGTGAATTCTTTCTCCGAGATGTCAATTTTTCTGTTTTCCTTTTTTTTATCTATACTTTTAGCTATATCTATTACGATTTTATCTTCAAACAACCCCCAAAAGTTGTCGATCGATAATAAGCCGCGCTAGAATTTTTTCCTTTTAAAAATGATTAACGATCTTTGTTGGAAGAGGTGTCGAAAGTCTTTCGGCGCGATCATGCACTTATCTTAATTTTTTTTTTAATTTTTTTTTATTTTTTGAATACGCTCGCATCCAAGAAAGAGAGCAACTAAAAACCATCTGGAAGATAAGATCCGTACGGTAACACAGCCGTTATATAAGCTTCATACCAATTACAGATTCCTGTATCCTATCTGAGATACACGAGTATGTATGTACAATTTCTTCTTAACCTGCGCGTCGCGTTATACAATTGCGGAGTGAAAAGCGAGTGGAAAACCGTTCTCTAAACAGGATAAACTTTCAGCTCACCTGGAAATTTCGTTATCCGTACTTCCGTCGTGCTTTTCACACTCATGTCAGTTCTTTTACCTCAACGTCTTTATCTCATTTTTGTCCCATCTTCAAACACGAATTTTCCTCGTTATCGTTAAAAATTCGCCGCCTTTCCTAATACGCGCGGCTTCCCACGATTTTCTTCACTCCACAATCGATAATGTGCGGGGACCGGGACGAAGGACCTTCCTACGGACGTCGTAACAATTGCACGTTTAGCAAGGGATCAGCAATCGGTAAAGATCTCCCATCGGCGCGCGTAACTGGACTGAAAAAAAAAACGTAAACAATCTCAGTTTCGCTTATTGCGCGTTTTACAAACGCACTCCCTCCGATTGCACGCAATCGACTTTCAGTCGTCGCCAATCTTCCTCGTCACGTCACACGCCCTTAATTGCTTTATCATTTCCAATTCCTTTCCTCGATACTTTTACATACCAATACCTGGAGATACGATAACAAAAAGACACGACAGAAAAATAAATAAATACAATAACAAAAAGACACGAGCGACTTGAAGATGTCTGAAAGATTTTAGATTTTTTTTTTTAGAAACACATCTCTCTCCACAATGTCTTTTACATGTATACACTCTTTTCTTCAGGATGCATCTTTGTAAAGTGTAACTCGATATGTTACTGCAGCTCTTCGGATTTTACAGTTGAGTAATAAATTATTTCAAAAGAAAAAAAAAAGAAAGACGTAAGTGTTCATACAACGCGCACAGAAACGATAATTTTTCATGCCCTATAAAAAAATTTGTTATCCTTAAATGTATTTTATATTCCATGCTTAGACATATATTTGTAATTTAACGAAGTATTTTAGAATTAATAGAGCTATTTAATATTGTTGGTATTGAAATGCAGTAGACAAGTAGAAAACGAAGGATTAATCACGGGCAACCCTTGCAGGAATCTTCTTTCCCGAAGAGCGGAGTCGATGATGATGATGATGATGGACGACGACGAAGATGCGTCGTTCCTCGGCCTCGTACGAAACAAATCTAACGGAATATCTTTAACTTATGTTTGTGTGATTCACGCGATTCGTCGAATCATGTACGCACGTAACGCATGTCCGAAAGGAAACAATTTTTCTCTTTCCCTTTTTACACCCGCAATTCGGTCGCAATTCTTTTTCTTTCTTTTTTTTTTAATATCGTTACAAAACATGGCACGCCGCTTCATCAACCATGAGTATTTTATACGCATAACTCTTGTTATCTACGTGGCGAGATTAAAACTTCTTAATACAAAAAAGGAAAAGAAATACATAATAATAGTAATAATAGCGTGCGGTATATAATAATAATTGGGATGATACTAAACAGAAAGAAAGAAGGAGAGAAAGAGGGAAGAGAAAGACAGAAAGAAAAGGAAAAACAGAAAGAGAGAGAGAAAGAGAGAAGATGAGAGAAAGAGAGAGAAAGAGAACTGAAAAATCGTCTAAAAACCGTTCTTGGGAAGCTTTCGAAAGAAAATACATAGTGAATAAATTAGCGTCTTACATTGATCGTCATAAATAAATACACGCAGCAGGGCTACAACGTGAAAAGGGATAAAATAGGTAATCGTGACGATTAATAATGACGCGTTGGATCCTATAAAAAAACTATGTAACAAATCGCGCGAGAGGCGCATACGTAATATATATAATATATATGTATTTATAATATAATATATATAACGTGTAAAAAAATATAATAAAAAAATATCTTCAAATTTCGCGTCTAACTTTGCGATCGTGTGTGCAGATTGCACAGCGTGAAGCGAAAACAAAATAAAAGAAAGAAAGAAAATAAAAGAGAAAAACGGGCGATTTACGAGAGCAAATACGTAACATTATCTTGCGGAGTTTAATCGTCAAACGCAAGAAAGTGCATGCAAATTTCAATTGTCAAATTGCGGTCAAAACACGTCCTTTCTTCTCTTTTTCTTCTTTCTCTTTCAAGCACAAACGGATATGCCTGTGTGTCAAAAAAAAATAATAATGAAAAAATTTGTTCTGAAAATAAAAAAAAAAATACGATGCGTATCCCTTTTCTCATTTGATGCTTCACGTCCAGCTGGTATACGCTTTCCTTGCCACATCATAGTCGATATCGATCGTATATCGCTCGAAATATTATATACTATATAGTATTGTGGTGGTTTATTAAAATTCGTTATAACTATCATTTAAAAATCACGACCTAAGCGGTGATTTGAGAAATATGCTTCTTGTACAAGGTAATTTTACGTCGCTGCCGCGATACCTCATTAAGGTGTCGATCGTTGCGCTCGAACATGAGTAGTTTCATTCTCGTTCTTCGTGCGTTAAATACGTTGCACCAATTCATACGTCCACACCTGATCATCATATTGCTTTGAGGTCACATCGACGAGCGTAAGAAAAATCTTTGAGCGTAGCGCGTCGACAAACATTAAGGAGGAAATTCAGCCTGGGCCGTTTCTACAGACTGTTTCTATAGGCTTAATTAATAAATAGTTAGATAGTTGTGCAGTTAATGGAAATGACAGCGACAAGTTATGGTTGATCGGCAAGCATGCTCTCCTCGGAATCTCTTTACAAGAGATTTTGTAAATCTGTCTTTGAAAGATCTTTAGAAGAGGACTTGTGGATGTGTGTAATGCCCGTAAAAACGAAAGAAACAATTGATCGATGTCACACGGTTACTATACTACATTGCGTATTGTTCTAATTGAAATTGATTGGCCAAACGATCCATGTTATGAAGGAAAAGTGGGTGCGCGCAAAGGTCTGCAGATAAAGAGACGATGTTACACAATGATCGCGCAACGAGGGAGACACCTTAGTGTGGACCGTCGATACACCCGACGAAATGCACGTGTTCTTTTAGTATTTGCAGTAAATTTTGGGCACTTTGTGAAATTTCACTTCACCCTCAGATCATTTACAATAATCAATAATTTATATTACACTCTTACAACGTTTCTACCGAGTCTCTGTCTCAGTAATGAACAATATACACCTTCTA